TTAATGTTGACTCTTTAACTTCATCCCAAACTTTAGCGCAGTTGTAAACGGCTTCCTTAATTGAGTATTTTTTGTAGCGTTCCAGTGTTGCTTGACCTCGCGAATTGGTTCCTTGTCTTTTGTCTTCATCTGACTCAAACGCCACCATGATTTCTTTATTCATTGCTCATTTGTAGAGACTTCATTGCATATATAACACCCATATCCATTGTCTGGATCAGAGAGGTGGTATTTGGAGGCAAGGCCATACATTTGATGCGTCCATCATGTGACGCTAATGTGTTGAGCCCTACCTGAGCTGGGGCATTGTCAACCAAGAGTAATGCCTTGACATCATTCCGTCTCACTCCACACTTGTTTATCTGAAAATCTCTTACTTCTTTGCAAAAAAGGATTTTTGAACGAGTCTACAAAAATATCTCTAGTAAACCAAGATGTTTTAGAGCTGTTGTAGACCACAGGTATCTTGTTCATTAAATTTTTTCAAAGCAACTGGGCTTTTTTACTTGCCCACAATGGCAGACCTTGTTCTGTGACTTCCATCTGCATTTGCACACAGCATGGCAGAAACTTTCTTTGTTTACCTTACGGCCAGGAAAACACTCATCTAGCCTAGATGCCAGTGTTGTTCTGCAAGCATTTCCAATTAAAGCCTGTTTCATCTGCATTGTATACCTGAAAATGCCTTAGATCATTTGTTATTATGTAATCATTTAATTTACGCTTAAATGGCTCGACAGAATCTGTATCTGCACTTAATGATTCTCCACAAACTTTCCTGTTCTTAATATTATGCCTATTCTTAAATCTTTGCAACCATCCTTCACTTGCTCGAAAATCTGGAATGTTCATCTTTTGTGCAAATTTATCTGCTGCTGTCTTAATGGCGTCACCGCCAAGTGGCATCCCACAGAGCGCTTCTGGTTAAACCATTTATACACAGCTTTGTCCAAATTTGCATTTGTAGAACCTTTTATTGTTTTCCTTTTATTTAATGCACCACTATCACTCAAAGCAAGGAACTTCCTAATACAGTATCATCTTTCTGTCTCTTGATATAACACACCGTACTTTTCCCGACATTAAATTCTGCTGCCAGCCTAGTAACAGAGTAGCCATGTTCATGTTTCTCTATTATGTCTAATTTCTGCTCAGTGGATAAAAAACTTCTCCTCTTTGTAGATACAACACAATTAGCAAGCGCTTGAGACATCTTGTTGTATAATAATACAGCTATAGTAAAAAAATGGTAAATTTCACGATTATTCTTTCACCGGCGGACAAATGCGTCACTCGCAGACAAAGCTAACGGCACTGGGTGCCTACTGTATGAACGCAGACTAGGTCTATACACCCTCCAGTAGGCTGGTGTTTAAGCCAGATCCCTTTAGTTTAGTTTTACATTACATTTACATTTAGTTTAGTAACATTATTAGGATAATAATAGATATAAAAAACTTATTTTAGAACTGATTTATTAATTTTATTATTTCGAAGCCGTAAATCACTGAACTGTGGCGACGAAATCAAACAAAAAACGCATGGTGCTGTGTGTACAAGGATTAGACCCGTCCCCTCGCGCTGGAGTTGTTGTTCCAATAACATTAATAATTTCTCAAATAGCAGATGTCTATCATATTACAGTATATTTTTGGGTTTATTTAGTTTAGTTTAGTTTAATTAGGATAATAAAAAGCTATTAAAACACTGGTTTTAGAAATGATTTATTAATCTGAACTTTCAAAGTCATGGGTCACTGAACTATGATGACACAGACGAAGGAAAACCAAGTGAGGTTTACAGTACAGTATTCTCTTATCTGTCCACCCTCACTCACCTTGTTTCATCACAGAAAATGTCTATAAGGAAATTTTACCACATGTAGCTAGCTAATCACTCTTCAGCCTTTAAATTAATTTACAAAGATACGTGTGCTACAAATCAGTGAACAAAAATTATAGAAACTCAGTCGTTCATTTGTGTGGACCACTCTGGCTGGTGTTTGGTTCATATGGTTCACTTGTTGTGTGGTCCACCTAATTGTGTGATCCAACTTGTCTTATGAAGGAATAATTGTAATCTGTGATAGAATGAGAAAGCTTTCCACAACTCTGTGAACTGTCACAACATCGTAAGCTTGTAGACCACTTGTGCGGTCCACTTGTGTGATCGAACTTGTCATATGAAGGAATTATTAATTGTAATCTGTGTTAGAATGGGAACGTTTTCCACCAGTCTGTGAACTCTGTCTGGACATTGTAAGCAAATCCGAATATCCCCCGCTTCGGCGAACCATTGTTCATCGAACCGGGTGAGTAACTCCGGCCTGAAAAGTGTAATTACCAAAGTGTAGTTACAGGATGAGAGCTACGCTCGTGGTGTCCCGTCTCCCCAGCACTCTTTGTCATAAAACGCTTTGAAATTACTGACAGTTTTGGCCTCCACTACCTTCTCACCTAACTTGTTCCAACCGTCTACCACTCTGTTTACAAAAGTGAATTTTCTTGTATTTCTCCGGCAGCTTTGTTTTGTTAGTTTAAATCTATGACCTCTTGTTCTTGAAGTTCCGGGTCTCAGAAATTCTTCCCTATCAATTTTATCGATTCTTGTTACTATTTTTGCGAACTAGCCGGAGATTTGTTGAATCGGGTATGTTGAATCGAGGTTGTACTATATAGTAAAATTGTAAGTGTCTACAGTATATTGATTAAATGTTTATGTATTAGCTAAATGAAATCCCTAGAAGTGCACAGTGAAATCACAATTACACGATATATATTCAGTATATATGAGAGGAATTCAGGTACTTTCTCATTCAGGCTGTAACTTGCACCAGTTTAGGATGTATATTACTCCACCCACAAGATGCATTCAGCTAGTCTATAAGCAGGCTTATTTGGAGATTGCTACCAAGCGTAACTAGTGCCATTTGTTAATATGTTACTGATGTATTTTTAAGGATTTAATAATCTGGCATACACTGTTCAATATTACATGGTACAAAATGCAGTGAATTGTCATGCTTCTCTGTTGGGTCAGATTGTGCAAAGGAAGCCATCGGTGAAACAAATCAGTTCAATCTAAAAATGACTCGGCAGTTCAATCCATAACATTTGAAAGCCCTTTGAAGCCCTCGCTTGGTAGTTACACAAGTGCCAAGTGAGGGCTCTCAAAACCTTCTGGTTGGTCTTGCTGGTCACCCATATGACCACCAGGTGGCAGCATTATGACCCACCCCCCCTCACAGTCTACCAATTCAAGTCAGTCCACATGCTACCTAATGCTAAGAATCAACATTGCACACAGAGAAATGAAAAAAAAGAAAGGGGAGCAGCCAAGTTATACAGCTCCAGTAAGGAGCTTTCCATATTACAGTACTGCAATTCAAAGCCTTAACTTTAAGCTCTTGCATTTGACTGTTCACTCGGGTAAGAAGTCTTGAACAGATGTAGAATAAATAAACTTGAAAAAGCACTAAAGAGTAGTGTTCAAAGTAAATTGCTGATAGGAGGGGGTCGCTACCCAGCTATTAGATACCAGGAGATGTAGGTGCCTTCATAACTGCTGGCAATGGAAGCACCTGCTCAATGGGAGAAGAATTTGCTTCACAGGTGCCTCAGTCTTGCCTTTGTTAGTTGAACTAGGATAGATGTTAATTTTTTTTCTGTTAAGAGACTGGACCCAGGCATCTTAACTGGTCATGGCTCAACTTGAGTTTGGAATAATGTCTGCTTCCTGGCTGTGGTATCAGGTTTCCACTTTTTGGTTTGCAGGCAATACCTTGTTCTCTGTGGGGACATGTCACTTGCACTGTCGATCACAAGTTTGAGTGGAAGGAAGCCATCCCCACCTGGCAGCTCCCTGTCCAGATTTCCCTCTTACTTCTGCAATTCATTGCAATAGAGCATGCATTCATTCATTCTGGTTGATGTCAAGTTCTTACCTTCTTGGAACTCTTTTCTCAGCCTCAGTGAGCTAAGCTGGATGTGATGTGAGTTTCCTGTCTTTAGCTCTGCATTGGCAGTGACTGCATCTTTCCCCAAGATGTTAGTTTCAGGCCTCCGTGGTTTGATTGCTGACTTTGCAGCACGTCATGCCTATAGGTGTGCTGTACTGTATATACTCAGTTCAGAAGTCCGCATGGACAATCTATCCATTGTTCTCCAAGATGGTGTCGGTGTATTTACAACTGTGAAATCAGGTGTTCTGGCCGAGACTTGCACCTCCCTCCTTCCCTCCCTGACACTTCTTTTGCTATTGTGCGAGATAGGCAGTCCTTCTAACTGCGGTGGACAGACGCCACCAAATTCAGGGAGGTTGGTCATGGAATATGGTCTATCATGTTTTAGTTAGACTGAGCATTCTCCAGTCTTTTCCTATCACCAATAGAATTCAGTGTGGAACTGTAGAATCTAAGAACTAGTAAGACCATGCCTTAGGGAAAAACCCAATGTCTTGTTCAGAAAGGAGCTTTTAATATACACTTAAAGCCAGACATTCATAAAAAACTTGGTTTATATTACATAATTACAGTGCATTTGATATATTTTCCTAATCAGAGATATTGGTGGTGTTAAAATGTAGAAGATAAATGATTTAAACCCATGGCTCCAGTCTAGAATTCCTAGAACTTCTGGTGTTCTCCTTCATTAAATATAGCAACTAGCCATCATGAATTGTTAAATATATTTTCAGTTCACCATCATTGGAAATTGTTATACAGTAATTTAATAAGGACTGTAGAGTCCTCTGTAATTTTCCCCTACTTACTGTATCTACTTTTCTTTCTCTTCTGCTGGCACCATCATCCTTCTCAAATGTTTCAAATGACTTAATATCAAATCCCCATCTTTAGAAATTGTTTAGTGTGAAATTAAGTCTATAGTGGTAAACATTTCTGGTAGTCTATACAAACCCAAGAAATGGTCTCAAATTAGAGTTGACATGTAGTCACAGTATAATTGTTAATGTAGTAATTTTTCCATGTGTTTTTTCCTCAGTCAATCGCTGTTTCGAGTACCGTAGGTGTCCAGCCCCTTACTCAGCAGCAGCAGCACTTTAACCAGCAGGTGCAGTATCAGCACCATCTACAGCAACAGCAGCACCTGCACCAACAGCACTATCAACATCAGCATCAGTGGGTTGAAGCTCAGAAAAAGGCTGTAGAGGAACAGAAGAAATTGTTTGGCCAAATGATGAAACAAAGACATTTTGATGAGCAGAAGATGAGACTGAAGGCATTTGATAGTTCAAAAAAAGTACGTAGTACGATAATGAAAGTGTCAAAAACCCTTCCCTCAGTATGGGTATGTCAAAAAAAATTTGAAATTGTACTTACTTTGGCTGCTATGGGGTCCGTAAGTTGGCGCGTGACATCGTCATTCCCCGTTCGCCCGTGACGTACGCTCCCGAGGCCAGTAGGGCGCCCGGGGCGGGGCGCGCGAGTTGCCACAAATATATTTTTGTTCATTTTTTGCGCACAGTTCCAAATACATTTATTTATTTTTACGTGCTAATCCTATGTATAATGAACACGTACACAATATTATGGCAGTAAAACATCCGTACTGTCCAAGGACACTGTGTTACGTGCATGACACGTGTGTACACATATGTTGCACATATTTACCATGTATCATGCTACTTTATGTATATATACAATCTATTTACAGACTATACACTGTCACACATTATATACATTTACCATCAACACATTCAGAACACCGCGAGTGTGAGCAGCCACACCCAGACAGCCCTCCCTCACTCCTCCAACATTGTATTCGCCAACATTGCTCCTCCCATCATACAGTTATTCACACCAATGTTTTATGTATATTTACAATATATGTACACACTATACACTGTCACACACTATATACATTTACCATCAACACATTCAGAACACCGCGAGTGTGAGCAGCCAGACCCATCCAGTCTCCCTCACTCCAGCATCTTACTCGCCAGCATTGCTCCTCCCACCATACTGTTGTTTTTATTACACTATTTACACATGTTATATATACCTATCTACATGTTTTATTTACCAGAACTCTGCAAGTAAGCCAGTATTGTGTCCAAACAGTACAGTGGCCACCATACACTGCATGAGAAATCACACAGCAGACGATGCTATGATTACGATGTCACCTCCCTCCCCAAAATTCCTCCTTCCACAATTCTACGCATAACGCTAATTATAACCACAATACTGGTCACTAATTGCTGTAAATGAATAATTGACCACAAGTTTATTTTGAAAAGGAACCTAAGAAGTCGTTTGAAAATTCCTAGATGGACAAAATAATGCTGTGGTTCTGTGGCTAACACTGTGAACATCGTGAAAGCATTGAATCACTTATATATGAACATTGTACCCAGTCATTATCACACTCAGGCTCTTCTATAATACAATCATGGCTAAATAATACAGGTTATATATATATATTTTGACATTATTAGGCGATGCTGTGGTCACACGCTGAACAGTAGTGCTGTGCGCTCATGCTGCGTGCGCCAGCCTTGGTTGCTCACTCACTACTGAGGCTCTCACACCCGGGAATGTGGACTACGATTTTTTTAAAGATGGCGTCTGTTTACAAGAGCCCTGAGGAAGCTGATGTGAACCCCATGTAGCCGCGGGAGTTTTGAATGGAATGTGAAAAATACAAATACCTGGAGGTGCGTAACGCACCTCAGACATGGGCCTGCAGGCGCGTTGTGCAGTTAAAGGGTTAAATTGTCCCTGGCCTACTCGGCCATATTCCCATTCATGCAGTGTTCTGACAAGATATACAGTCAGCCATGTGCTTTACGAATGCCTGTTATCCGATTGGGGTTTGTTCAGATAAAAAGTTTGGATAACTGGTGGGGCAGACAATCTGACTAAAAATGTGCATTAAAGATGGAACAAGTTTGCCTAGTGACCGTACACAGCACTACTTGAACAGTGTTCATACACTAATGGATGCCTCAGAAGCTTTCAACTCTGCCATGGCATTAGGTACATTAGAGTACCTAATAAGGTACTCTACAAGGTAAAAGGCAGTCTCCGGAGGTTACCTCATCACCATTAATCTCCACTACAGTCAACCCAACACTATCATTGTCCACCACCACTATTTCTATCTAAATAACTTGAAGATTATAATTGATGGAGCATTGTTATTAAGCAGATCAGAACATATATTGGCAAGTATAAACAAAACACTGTTGAATTTCTGCAACAAAAATTGTCAATTTTTCCCGTACCTTTTCAGGATGTCTAACCACTTATCCAAACACTACACGTTATCCATTCAGTCTCCGTCCCGAAGGGTTCAGATAGCACATGGCTGACTGTAATGGTAATGCATTCCAACATTATTATAAGCGCTATCATTAATGCTGTTATCACGTATACTTAGTAAGAATACCTTACTGTTTCAAAGTGTGTTTTGTTATTTAGGCAAGCTTTCTATGCAATCTCTTCAGAAATGTCTTAATGTATTGGTTTAAATGCCTCTGTATTGTATCAGTACTGTATACCCAAATGTGACTGTATGATTTTTGTATTGATTTTACAGTACTGTAATTTTTCTTGTGATACCTTTAAAATGCTTCATGATACCGATAGCAAATTTGCAACATTTTGTGCATTTGAGTCTCAAACACCATAATACTAGTAATCACAAAGCTGATTCAGGGCATTTGTGTTCCCTGATCACAGGGAAAATAATAAAAAAATCGTAGAGGGTGGTCCTGGTGGTCCTTTCGCTTCTTTTTGTGTCTCCGTCGTTGCACTTCGCTTTCGGTTAAGGTTGTTTTGTCCTTTCTCTCGTGGTTGTTTCAGGACCGTCATCTGATCCCGAATACTGTCACCTCGTATCGTAATTACCTAAGTGTGTAATTACCTAAGTGTAGTTACAGGATGAGAGTTATGCTCGTGGTGTCCCGTCTTCCCAGCACTCTTTGTCATATAACGCTTTGAAATTACTGATGGTTTTGGCCTCTACCACTTGACATAATTTGTTCCAACCATCTACCACTCTGTTTACAAAAGTGAATTTTCTTACATTTCTCCGGCAGCTATGTTTCATTAATTTAAATCTATGACCTCTTGTTCTTGAAGTTCCGGGTCTCAGGAACCTATCAATTTATCGATTCCTGTTACCATTTTGAATGTAGTTATCATATTGCCTCTTTATTCTATCTTCTAGTTTTTGCATATTTAATGCCTCTAACCTCTCCTCGTAGCTCTTGTCCTTCAGTTCTGGGAGCCACTTAGTGGCATGTCTTTGCCCCTTTTCCAGTTTGTTGATGTGCTTCTTAAGGTATGGGCACCACACAACCGCCGCATATTCCAGCCTTGGTCTTACAAAAGTCGTGAACAATTTCTTTAGTATTTCACCATCCATGTATTTAAAAGCAATTCTGAAGTTAGAAAGTGTAGCATAGGCTCCTCGCACAGTGTTCTTAATGTGGTCCTCAGGTGACAGTTTTCTATCTAGAACCACCCCTAGATTCCTTTCTTTGTCAGAATTCTTTAAAGATTTCTCACATAATTTATAGGTTGTGTGGGGGGTCTATGTTCTCTAATTCCACATTCCATAACATGGCATTTATTCACATTAAATTCCATTTGCCAAGTGGTGCTCCATATACTTATTTTGTCCAGGTCTTCATGAACCGCATGACAATCATCTAAGTTTCTTATCCTTCCTATTATCTTAGCATCATCAGCAAACATGTTCATATAATTCTGTATTCCATCTGGTAGATCATTTATGTAGACAATGAACATTACCGGTGCAAGAACAGAACCCTGTGGTACTCCACTTATGACATTCCTCCAATCCGATACATTGCCTCTGATTACGGTCCTCATTTTTCTATCGGTTAGGAAGTTTTTCATCTATGTTAGAAGCTTACCTGTCACCCCTCCAATATGTTTAAGTTTCCAGAACAACCTCTTATGTGGAACTCTGTCGAAAGCCTTTTTTTTTAGGTCCAGATAGATGCAGTCAACCCAACCATCTCTTTCCTGTAAAATCTCTGTCTGACTTGATCATAGAAAATGAGTAAATTTGTTACACAGGATCTTCCAGATTGAAAACCATACTGTCTGTCTGATATTATATTGTTTTTCTCCAGGTGTTCTACCCATTTAGTTTTAATTATTTTTTCCAATATTTTGACAATTACGCTTGTCAATGATACAGTTCTATAATTGAGGGGAGGGGGAGTCTTCCCTGCTGCCACTTTTGTAGATTGGAACGATGTTAACTTGTTTCCACACAGCTACAACTCCTTCACACAGTGATGCCTGAAAAACAGTTGAAGTGGAATGCTGGGCTCAGGTGCACATTCTCTCTCAGCACTTCCTCTTTGGGGTTTTTCGGGGTTCGGTGCCTTGGCACCTCCCCGAGCCTTCGCTCGATTTGTTTACGGACGGGTCATCTCTTGACTGGAAGTTGGCTGGAGATGGTGGGGTCTGTCCGTCCGTCGGGCTCACAGCATGGTTCGGGAGTTCGTGGCTGTCTGGTTTGCGTTTCGGAGGGTTCAGGTCACTCGGTGCTCTACCATCCAGCTCCATTCAGACTGTTCTCTGGTGGTTCTTTGCCAGAACTTTGGGGTTTCTCTTAGGTGTTTGACCTTTGGGGTTGGTCCCTTCGAGTGGCTCGTTTGCTGGATTCTTGGGGTTTGGCTAGCTGTGAGGTTCATGTCCGGGGTGTGTCCTGTGTCCTGGCGGACAGCCTGTCTCGGTTCATTCCTCTGTTCGTGGATTGGCCGGTTGTTGCCAACTCGTTTCATTGGCTCTGCCGAACGTATGGACTGGCCATGAACATCTTCGCGTTGGCGTGGTCTCGGCATCGCCCATTCTATGTGGTGCCCTTACCCGAATGGCGGTGGAGGCCATTCGGCTAGACTGGTCGAAGTGGGGGGTACCTGTTCCTCTTTCCCGGTCCAGCTGTTGCTTCGGGTTCTGGCTCGGTTGGAGTCCATTCCCAAGGAGAGTAGTCCTCATGGTCCCTTGGTGGCTGGCCCAGCTTTATTTTCAGACGCTGCTTGATAGGTGTCCGAACCCCGGGGCGTTTTCCCGCGGCTCCGCCTCTTTCGGCAGGTCGAACCGGTCTTGTACATGGCTGGTTTGGCCTTCTCTTCGGCTCTTCGCGTCTGGTTTATCACCATCTCTATGGTGATCAGGTGGTTTCGTTGATGGTGTCCCACCTGTGAGCTTCATCTCGGCGACAGTATGACGTTCCTGGTGTTTCTATTCACC